AATACTTCTTTTTCTTCTTGGGGAAAAAAAAACGCCCGCCAGTCTGTGACTAATTGCTAGAGACCCCCACTCTCCATAGAAATGTTTGCATCATTATTTTTAATTCTTAGTGGTCCATAAGTTAGTTTTCCACAATGTGTAATGAAGATAACTATATTGCTGATGTGAGTTTGAATAATTTATTCAGTTCATTTGACAGCTTTTTTTAGAATGACTCAATCTATTAATTAAATTCAGTTTTATTATAACTTTCAAATACTTTGTTCAATATTTAAAATTATATCTTGCTGTATTACTCCCTGCTGGAAGAATTAGTAATTTGGAGCAAGATTCCTCCATTCCTTCTCCTCATAATACAGCATAGTTCTGCTGAATGACAGGTAAGAGTTGATATGCATTGACCTGGTTCTTTATAATTCATAAATAAAAAATATTTATGTGGTATAATTTCCATTATGATAAATCATGTCATACTAAAAGAAAGTGCCATAAGGCTCAGTTACATAAATCGATGTCAGTTTTTGTAAAGTTTCTACAGCAGGATGGGACAAAAATCTGGAAAATGGCATAAAAATGCTGATGTCACTCTCAGAAAGGCTTTCTCTACATGGGGCAGGAATATTCTTTTATACATACTAAAGAAAATGTAATGGATTTTATAGAGCAAATTCCAGTCTGACCTTGACGAGCCCAACTTTGTAGTATCTCTTACCATTTGCGAAAGTTGGGTGTTTATCAAATCGCCACATAGCAATGACTGACCACATGACATTTGCTGAAACCTGTGACAAATGTATTTGTCATGCACTTGTAAATATCTTACCTGCCTTTTTACTCTGCTCACTTCCCTGATCCTGTCAGGAGCACGTCAAACTTATGAGGTACCTAAATCATTTTCCTCTTTTTAAAACCTAAGCTGTCATGGAAAAATTCCTTCATCCTGCTCCCAGTGGTGAAATTTACAGTCTCTCTCTCACCCTTGCTCTAGTAGAAGGATGTTTGTCTCTCTCTGAAGCTGGAAATCATGCTTCATGAGACATTCCTTTACCTCCAGTTTTGGAAGGACAAGTTGTAAGACACTGTAGATGTGAAATCTGTGCCTAAAGCAGCAATTTCAAACCTTTAAAGCGATTGTAGCTCCCTTTGTGCTTAGTGCTGTCAGAGTTGGACTAATGCACACCACTATCCAAAATTTACCCTGATGAAAGCCGCACTGCATCACTACATCATGTTTCTTGGCTAGCCAGCTCAGGGGTTATGGAAGTTTCATACGTGTTTAGTTTTAGACCCCTCTGATGGTCTAAATCAAAGTTTCTTCTGAAGCCTTTGTATTTATGAGGTAATACACAAGTTAACGCCTTTTATTAATACCATTTTGCTCTCAATTACAGAATTATAAGAGATCATGGCCTAATCAACCTCAGAAAATTTCAGAGTGAGTATCAGGTGTAACTGCTTAACTTGAAAGTGGCCTCTACTTGGGAAGCAAAACTTTGCATGTTCACTGTTTCCAGTGCACCAGTGTGGTTTATTCATACTCGACCATATTCAGATGGTCTGAATTCCAGCAGATTTCCTGCCCCAACTGTTTCCAGCCAGCTGGCTCTAACTATTCCCAGTTCAGTGTTTTAGTTATTGCCTCAGAATTGCTCTTCAGAAGCGTTTTAGGCTCCTCTGAGTAGGGAGAGGGGTGAAGGTGAAATCTAGACCTTTTAAGTGCATCTCACTATTCTAAGAAATGATTAAACAACATTTAAATATCATCCTTTATGCTTTTAGAATTTTAAGGGCTGTATAATTTTCTTGCTTTTTACTCAGCAATTTGTAGTTGTGACACCAAAATGGCCAACAGGTGCACCGAAAATGGATCTTTGGGCAGTTCAGAGGCTGGTAGTCACTTCAGGTTCCACTGAATTTATTTTATTCTCACAGTAGGAGTGATAAGGTGTGTCACTTTTTTCCCCCTCTAGTTTTGGAAAGGCGATATCCAAAGGAGGTTCAAGACCTTTATGAAACAATGCGACGATTTGCACGAATTCTTGGACCGGTAGAGCACGATAAGTTCATTGAAAGCCATGCATGTAAGTATTTTGAGGATTTTAGCATATATGTTCTTCAATAGGCATAATGAGGGGTTGCATTATCTACAATCTTTCCTAAATAAGGAGGTTGTTTTTCTCCTCCTCCCCCATCTAACTACGTCAGAAAAACAAATACATTTGTGGTTTGAAACATTAAATGAGCAGCAAGTGGGTTTTTTCCACTAAACTGTGTGCGAGTTCTTTGTTTGATTTCTCAGTTGACTGAACATTCTGGTCGTGTGTTAGAAGTAGTATTTTCTTATCAAAAGACCACTATTCATTTACTGGGACTCTATATCACTGAAAGAACAAAATACCTAAAATTTATGTCTGTATTGAGAGATCGGGAGCTGGAAGCAAATTGTGAATTCTTTGAAAGATACATGTTAAACTATTACATGTGTACATAGTTATATAGCACAGCTGTCATTATGTCCCTTACCTTAAAGGGAGAGGCATTGTTCCATCACCAAATCATCTCGAGTTTTTATGCATAATCATAGCATGCATTTAGTCAAATTCCAGTATGAGTCATTAAGTCACGGAATTAAGCAGGATGTAAACTGGGAAAATTGTTGCTCATTAGAAGGAACAAAGCATTTAAACAGTTGCGACTGTATTTTCAGGACAGCCTGTGTGAAATACCAAAAGTATGATCTTGCAAAATCATGAGTCCCACGTGTGAGTGCTAGTCTTGGAACCTAGTTTTGTTGTTGTAGTGACAGCGAAGTCCTCAAGTTAACCTGATAGTCAAGTACACGCATTATACAGATCTCCTGAGTAGTACAAGTAAACAAATTTGAGACAAGCAAACTTGCTGGCTGTAAAACTAAGCAATGCCTGGAAGCCAGCTGATAAAAGCTATAGGCAGTAAATATCTCAGAGCAAAAGAAACACGGGTATTTAATCTTACTGACTGCAGAAAAAGAGTTGTCTGCAAGGAAATATTTTGGAAGGTCCGGTTATGAAAATCATAGTTCAAAGACAATATTAGATGCTATAAGGAGCCTGGATGGAGTAGTTTTTCAATTGAAAATTAAAATGCCTTCCAGAAATCCTACATTATTGTTATTTGCCTCGTCCAGGGTACGGCAAAGGAACTGTCAAAGCATGAAGATAAAATAACTTTTCTGAGCACACAAACGCTAGAAACCAGCTTAAATCTGTGATCAAGGAGTGTTAGGACACAGTGAGTTTGAGATCTGATACAGACTTGCGCAGAGAGGTTAACCCTGTCTGTGGTTCTGTATACTTCATAGCTGAACTGTGTAGATAAATAAGAAATAGCAATGTTCCTAGTACACCACAGTTCACTGCCACCCCCACTGACCCACATTTGTCTTTTGGATTTCCCTTCTGCTTACTCTTGGGGTAAAACAGTGGAATTTGAGCTGCGAAGGGAAATAAAGCGACTGCAGGAATACAGAGCAGCAGGAATCACCAATTTCTGTAGTAAGTACCCGATGCATTATTCAGCCCATTCCCATTCATCAAGGTGTGGAAGGATGATTTTACGACATTTAGGATGTGTTGAATAAAAAGACACTTAGTTTTGAAATGCATTTGCCTAGCTCTTTAACTGAACAAGGCTTTAGCAATAATGCTTCCATCCAGCTGTGCTTTTTTAAAGCTAGTTTGAGCCATCAGCTTGGAGAACGCGCTGTCTAGCAGAGCTCTGCTTTAGTCACCACTTTGCAAAAGATTCAGAAAAAAAATATGTATGTCATGGCACAGTGGTCTCCATGCTTTATCTCTGGACACTTTCACTGGTTATCAACAAGTATGATATCTGGAGAGAGGCCTAAGACCTCTGCATAGATGAAATGGCCTGTTTTATCCTGGAATTGGATCATGGAAGCCTTTTTTGTTTGCTTTTGGCCTCAAAAATTAATGGGGGGAGGGGTGCAGGGTGGAATCTAATACCTTCTGATGCCAAGTAGTTGTCATGAGGGAGAATAGCAGAGTCTGGTCCAGAGCTAGAGAACAGTTTCTCACTTATTTTCTGAAGTAGAAAAACAAACAGAAAATTTTGACCAAGGCAGCTGGTGAGAATGTGGTATCTGTTTGCCATAGGTGCCAGAACATACGATCACCTTAAGAAGACAAGAGATGAGGAACGCCTAAAGCGCACTATGCTTTCTGAAGTCCTGCAGTACATCCAGGACAGCAGTGCCTGCCAGCAGTGGCTCAGTCGACAAGCTGATATGTACGGTTACAGTGAGACTGTGCATTTTACATACCTACGCTTTAGTCAGGTGCACCAAACATGTTTTTCTGTGCGATAACAACAAATGCGTTCCCAATTTATTACAGTAGGAACAGTCCGCCAAATTCAGAAGGGCAAGAAACTGTGGATAACAGCAGTAGTGCTTGTTGAAGTGCAGACAAGGAAGTGACTAGTAAGGGCTCAAAATCTCAGTTTTCTGTATTTTATATTTCAGGAACTTAACTGCTGTTAATAAAGTCGTGGAGGGAAATGAGGTCTTTATGGATATTAATGAGGTCACAGATGACACTTGAAATGTTTCAGATGATTTTAGATGTAGCAGCATTATTAACGTGTAGTCACCCTGCACAAGCACTTTGATTTAAGGAGCAAGCTGCAATGCAAAGGAAGTGCATCCTGTATGCTACATGGTCTGAGAAGATGATTTGGAATTTCCCGTCTCCACTGAATTTTTTATTGTGTTCCCTGCCTACCCCCCCCCCC